CTGGATCGTGTTTCGGGGCATATGTGCTTGGCGGGCCGATAAGGAATCAGCCGCCACCCGCTTGTACTCTGGCTTTCCAGGGTAGATATCCTCCTGTCATTGCCAGCGGATGTCAGGGAAAATCACTTTGTACCTTTGATGATAGGCCACACCAAGTTATTTCCTTGGTTCTTAAACATTTTCAATAAGGTTTGGCCACGGTAGCTTGCTGATCAGAAATGCAATACCTTCAATAATCATTTGATCATGCCGTTGTGTTATATATTTGGTATCCGGTGCAATATGTTTAGTTGGGTTGATTTTGTTCTTTTATGTTCAATTATTTTTAATGATGTGTATATTTCCCATGGTGTTAGGTAGAAAAGATGTCCTATCCTCTCACCCACCTACATGTGTGTGGAGAATTTTTAATAAACAAATGAATAAGAGGGAAATTTTGCAAGTGAACATCATAAAAGCATACTGTTCTTGATATCTTGTAGATGTGAGTGGGCCTGTTCTTCTGCGCATGCTGCAGCACCCCCCCACCCGCCGGGCGCTCTTTGTCGGCTGCGGACTGCAGATGTTCCAACAGATCGCCGGCATCAACACCGTCATGTGAGTAACGGCCCTCCCCTTATCGCACACTGACATCTTGCTGAGATAAACAGGAGCTGTTTCCTGTGTAAATAACCGGGCTAACACGCTTTTATAGATTTCTTACAGTTACAGTCGGAAATGAATAGGTTTGTCACTATTCCTTTTCCCCTTTCTTCCAACTTTCAAAGTATCAACAAGATATATTGCGGAGAAACTTGCCAGGCATAAAAGAGACTCAAAACACACTTCAGTGAGTTGAAAACATCCCTTTATTCCACTTATGGCCTGCAGGAAGAATCCGAGGAAACACATTAAACACGCACTGAGAGGCTGTTGAAATTCCCTAACTTGTAAGGTCTCATCAATGTGATGTGTTGGTTCTTGGATTTAGAAAATAGTACTAAACAGGAGGATGAACATGGAAACAGTTTCCTAAAACAATTCACACAGAAAAATAATTCAGTTCAATACAAGGGCTGAAAACCATAAGGAAATAAATTGGCCTATAAGCCTGCTTTCATCAGTTTTGCTGGCCCAGGGGCTTTTCAAAAACTTTCATTTTCTTATCAAACTCATCATATTGACTCAAAGGGACATTCTGTTATCTTAGGAATGTAAAACCTTTTAGTTAAACCAACCTGGGTTCCTACTATCTAGGTAATGAATGATGATGTTGACTTCGAGATTATGGGGTATTGTCATATCTTGCATTCCCTTGAAAATTTTAGGATTTGAACTTTGAGATATTAAGTCTGATAATTCATATCTAAGGCCACACCAATTTATTTCCTTGCTTTTTGGACATTAATCTTTTTTAAGGCGAAAATATAGCAAGCAGAGGGCAGTCAGGAAACTTGAACATATTCCTTAAATTTGAGTGAACTAGTGAACTAAGGCATAAACCTGGCTCTATTTTATTATGTTTGTCGCTGTATGAAATGCATTTGCTTCCAGACACACAAGCAAATTTTAATTCTCAACCCTGACAACTTGTCAGGGTGTAATGGCAAGTGAGAAAGACTGGTTGTATTGTATTATCAAACTTCACGTTCAAATAACCTTGACCCGAAGAAAGTTTCAGGTGAATGTCTTTGAAATGAAAAGTGGCCAGTGTATGTTTGAAAAATGAGAGCTGTATTGGCCCAACATCTCCCAATAGCATGTTTCTGGAAATTTATAGTACACATAGAGTGAAAAGGCTTCTCCAGGCTGCAGTGTCATTACTGATCCTGCTGTACATATGTTTCCCCTTCTGTTCCTTTTAAGTGTTATCCTACCACAACATGCCTCAATGCTGAGAATTTGTAGCATATAAGTTAGAAATCTATCACAGCTACAGTGTCATTATTGATTTCACTGTGTGGTTATGAAGCAAGATATCCCTGCTTTCCCTTTCAAATATAAATCTTACGACTGTGCATCTCACTGAGATTGAAAGGTTTCTTTAGTGCATTGACAGCCTATAAATCTAAAGCGACCAATGTGAAATAAGAAAGAAGAAACTCAACACATACCAGTAGCATGTTTGTTAGAAAATTCCCACAGCTACAGTGGCAGTATTGATTCCACTGTGCGGTCATTAAGCTAAGCTTGACATTCTGGTGTCCCTTTGAAACATAACCATATTACTGTGAGACTTACTGAGATTGTAAGGTTGATCCACAGGCAGTGTCAAGTCTGGTGTGAAGTATACTTAGTAAGGCCAAGTCTAACACATATTGGCAAGACGTTTGTTACAAAATTTTTCACAGCTACAGCTGCACTATTGATTCCACTGCATAATGTTCCTGCTTCCCTTTGAAATGTAATCCTCGAATTGCGTCTTACTGAGATGGAGTAGGTGATAGCCACTAGCCGGCAGCTACATCAATCATCCTCCAGACCTTCACAGGTCTTAATGTGTTACATGTTGGAGAAGACACAACAGAAGACGACAGCCGGGGCATTTTAAGTGCAGATCAACCTAATTTGAAGCTCAGCTGAAGGCTGTGTGTGGGATTGGTGTCTTAGGAGGACTTAAATGTACTTACACAAAAATGTGCTCGTCTTTGAGATAAAACATCAAAGCACCTAAAGGCGAGATGTGGTACTAAATCCTGGGTTTACTGTTACTGCATGAAGTGAATGATTTATATGTAAGCCTAAAGGTCTATTTTCCAAAGTAGGAACACATCATACTTAAATTTCCAAACCTTTCTGGTGTTCACTTTTTCCTTAGAGTAGAATTAATGCCGTAAGGAGGGGAAAGCTGGAGAAACATGGAAAATGGAGCACTTTTTATAATACAATTTGATTCTACTCATCTTTGGGTGCGTTTTATCATTTTATAATATGTTGATTTTCTGGGTAGTGTACCACATGTATGTTCTATTTTTTGTTACTATTATGAATAAAGATTTAACAAAGAAAATGTGTACTGATCCCCCCACAGGTACTATTCTGCCAGCATCATCAAGATGGCAGGTGTGCAGGATGACTCCATGGCCATCTGGCTGGCAGCTGTCACTGCCTTCGTCAACTTCATCTTCACCGCTGTGGGGGTGTACCTGGTGGAGAAGGTGGGCAGAAGGATCCTGGCTCTGGGCAGCATGGCAGGTAGGAGGAGAGGATTTTTATAGAAACTTTATTGTACAACAATTGTACAAGAATTTGTACTCAGATTTGATTTGTAAACAAATTTCCAACTGTACCTCCTGTTGTTGCACAGTTAAGTCATAGTCTTTTGAGACCGACTGACAGTGAGAGAGAGTACAAGGTACAATGTGTGACTTCTACTTTTTAGGCCATTTCCTGATCAGTACTTGTCTTTGTGTCCTGTAGGTGTGTTCCTGAGCCTGTTGGTGTTAGCCATTGCCTTCTGGTTCTCTGCTCAGTACTCCCCTCCCATCACCTACCTGCCTACTCCTGACAGCAACATCTCACAGCACTGCAACACATACAAGTAAGTCATTCATGGATTATTATCTCTACTAGATTTTATTTTCACTCTTTTATAGTTGCCAATGCAGTAGCATAGTTGTCATATATGCCAATGCAGTAGACTTAAGTGCTCTGGTAGGCTTAGTTTGACTTCATGTATTTTACCAGAGTACATCTCAGGTTTGTGAGGTCTGCAGTATCAGTGCCATAGACATGTGAAATATAAGGTCTGTCACACACATATTTCCTCTGCAGGACATGTAACCAGTGTGCACTGGATGATGACTGTGGGTACTGCTTCAGTCTGGACTCAAACAACTCGGTTACCAATGGCTCCTGCATGGCTACAGACACCGGCAGATGGGACTCGTTTGCCAGAACTGGTCGCTGTGCGTACACCAACAACACAGCAGACCACCGGAAGGTGGGGGTGAACTGGGCCTTCAACTACTGCCCGTCTCACTACTCCTGGCTGGCCATCCTGGGGTTGGTCCTTTACCTCATGTTCTTTGCACCAGGTGAGTCTGCAGCTGACCAGAATCTACACCTGGACTAGGGCTCTAGCCAGGTCAAAATTGTTTTCCGTCAGCCCAGGTTCATGATCAGACCTGTGGGAAGAATGCTTACAATCTAGGGGGTGTCTGGGGGCAAATTTTAGATTTTGAAGCCTCTAAAAATGTAATTTACCACATTTTGAGAGGCAAATCATCGGGTTAAGAGTTGTTTATTTGGGCCTTTAAATGTTTTTATATTTTGACCAAAGATTTTTCTGTCTCATGCCAAAAAGTTCCTGCAATTGATGGAAAAACAGGTGCTGGCTAGAGCCCTGATCAGGACCCTTCCTTGTATTGTTTGCAGGAATGGGTCCCATGCCGTGGACCATCAACTCTGAGATCTACCCCCTCTGGGCACGCAGCACCGGCAACGCCTGCTCAGCTGCAACCAACTGGATCTTCAACCTCCTGGTCTCCATGACATTCCTAACGCTGACAGAAACTCTAACAAGGCCAGGTTTGTTCACTTGTTTGTTTGTTGAGCACACAAACTTTTTTTATATACAAGAATAAAAAAGTAGGTAGAAGCTTCTCCTTATTTGTATTCTGATGTCTACATTAAATAAACTTTATTTCTGTTGGATAATTTTGTTCCTCAGCATCTTCATCATCACACTACATATAAAACTAATGGTAAGGAAGTAAAATGCAAAACAGTCTTTGAGTTATTACAAATGGAGAAGAACTTTAATGTTACTCAGGTAGCGCATGTTTATTTCTGAAATATATGACATATCCATTGATCATGACTAAGGAATTGTATTGTTTTGACTGGGGTTATAGGTTTGTAAATGATAATAGCTGACATGAAGATACCGTAAATGTAATGTGATAACTTGCAACCACAAACCCACCAAGTAAAACACTGTGAAAACCTTGGTCCTTTACCTTAAGTCCCCATTAAGTCCCCTCAAAAATAAGTGGATTTACCATATACAATAAGGTAACAAGAAGACTACATAATGATTGTAGATTCAATTGTAGAGTAGAATTCAATCCCAGGAAACAAGGAATTGAATCAGTTGAGCCCTGCCCGTATATTACATACCGGCCTGGAGGTAGAACTGACATTTCCGCTTCTTCCACGGAGAAATTACACGGGCATCCTCTCCCCAGAGGACACTGGGAGTCACGACTGCTGCATCAGATAAGACATGGAAATTCTCTCATCGATTCTGGCACGACTAGGCTTCAACCAAGACATCTACACCAGCCTCCGGGCAAAGCAGGAGTTAAGAAGCAAATTACCTTCTCGGATGGATTGTGGATAAACTTTGTTACATTTCCTTAGTAATATTTAAAAGTTAATCACTCCTTTGCTATGCATGTGCCTTTCCCAAGGACACGGTGTCTAGCCAGGAGTAGACCCGTGACCCCTCGATCTCATGTCCTGTGGCAAGCAAAGCCACTCAGCCTTTCAATGCCATAGCAGCTGTAAATATTGTGGCTTGCACTGCTGGCTTCAAGACATGGAAACTACTCACATATCACTGCTAGCTGCCTTTGAAGGCAGCACAAGCAATACCGTAACATGTAACCTTTTTCACAAGTAAAAGCTTTGCGAGTCACTTGGGAGATGATCACAGTGCCATCATTTTTCCCTTCATTCGTTCCCGTGTGTGGTCCATTGCAGTACACTTGTCATATGAAATTGACAGACATCATAGATTGCTCGAGAGATGCTTTCAACCCACAACTAGATTTATTTGTGATGTCTCTCTTTCTGTAAAGTTCACAAGCCTATCTGTCTTTTTCTGAGTGCCTATCCATTTGAATGTCCCTTTCTGCTACATGTATGCCATTGACATATGATTGTACGTTTTTACTGACTCATGTGACTTTATGTCTGTCCATTAAATTTTGTGCATGTCTATCGTATGTTTTATTTTCTTGTGAATATTACCTGTGAATGTTTTCAATAGGATGTTTTTTTTACGAATGCCAATGGCTCATTTTTAGAATTGAATTAAGGTAGAATTTATTAGGCTATTAGTAAGCTCTTCAGTTTTTGGAAGTGTCATAGCAAGGACAAAGAAGTCTGTATTAAAAATTGTCCTTGGTCATACCAAATTCTAAGTTATGGGTTTTAAAAGAGAGAATGAAAATACATCTTTTTCTTGCAATATGTGTAGATTTTTTTTACAATTTTGTCTGCATTGTTTTCAGTATTTTAAGTGTCGTGTTTTGTTTTCTGTCTCTCTCCCCCATTCCACAGGCACGTTCTTCATGTATAGTGGCCTTGCCCTTTTGGGGGTTATCTTCATATGGGCCTTCCTGCCTGAAACAAAGGGCAGGCGTTTGGAAGACATACAGGCGATGTTTGAAGGGCCATGCATCATGGGTTGTGGCGGTAGTGCTTTACAGTACACACACGTATCAGGGCAAGTCAGGAACTCTGCAGCAGAACCATCTGTATGTACCCCCATCCTGGAGGAGGAGAGGAGACCACATGTGGAGTCGGACTCATCTGATGTGGAGGAGTTCAGCAGATGACGTTTTCTCAGCCCTTAAAAAAAAGTCAGCATTATGTCCATTTTTCCAATGCTTCCAAGCAGAGATGCTGCAACATCTTCCTCCTGATAAATAATTGAAATTTAATCTTCCCAACTCTTCTCCTATCCACACTGCCTGGTGTGCTCTCTGAAAGTTTTACATTTAATTTACTAAAACCCAACCCTTCACCTCTCACAAAGATGCAGTGGCATCCTCGTGTCAAATTAAATTAGATAATTATGAAAATTTCAGTCTTCTCACTGATTTACTAATACCTGTAAAACCACTGTAAATTAAGTTTAAAGTAAATAAATTTAACACTTTAATCCACATTAACACACCCTCTTGATCCTAACTCAACCTGTTGCTTGCTGGTTTGTATACCACTAACTGACTAAGGTGACTACATTTTCATATCTTAAGTTGAAAATATATTTGACTTTCCAATTTGGGAAGAAAACAATACTTCAGGCCACACCAATTTAATTTGTTGGTTCTCGGATTTTGTCAGAAAAAACATGAAGCGACAGGGCGAAAAAAAATAAAATAAAAACAGGTTTAGGCATCCTATTATAGCCCCAAATGCTATGATAGGAGCCATGAAGTCAACACAAAAGGTTGTGTTAATATTTAAACAATGAATTTTGAACTTTTAATCAAACCACTGCATTGATAGAATTGATTGGAAACACTGCAACAGCTAGGGAGAAAAGGACTTTCCACAACTGTTGGGGGCAAAATATGAGCATTTTTTGAGTTGATTCAGAACCAGAGTCTTTTTTTTTTTTTTTGCAAATCAGAAAAAAATGAAGAGGCGAATCCGAGAACCAACAAATTAAATTGGTGTGGCCTCAAGAAACAAAGTGTATTGTCCTTCTCCTTTCAGGTGCCATCTGGATGTACAGCTCCTTGGCATTCCTTGGACTCCTCTTCATCTTCTTTCTTGTCCCTGAGACACGAGGTTACCGACTGGAGGAAGTAGATCTGCTGTTTAACCGACCCTGGGGTCAGCTGACCGCCCCCTTGCAGCAGGACAGGGAAGTGCAATATATTCGGGTCAGAGGTCATAACCAGGGTACCTCTGATGCCTCTGACATTGAATGACAGTAGATATTTGTTTCGGCCTTTGTTTATTCATGAAATACTTTGCCTGCTGGCTGCTTTTCATTTCTTAGTTATGTCATCATAAGAAATAATTTTTCAACTTTTTTCTTCTTCCCCTTATTTTAAACAAGCTTCCATGTCTGCACTATTTCATGACAGTAGATAGAAGATTTTTAACATGAAGATTTATCATACAAAGCCATAATGTAGCTCTATTTAATATGCCCTCAATCCAAGGCATGAATTTGTCCAGTAGACATTATGCAGATTTTCAATTATAGAAAATGAATTTAATTATCCTGATAATGCATTAAACTATTATTTATTATTACATATATACCTCATTTTCAGGCAGTGTTTCCTTCAACAGTTGTTGGAAATGTTTCTATTAAACCAGTGAGAAAAGAAGACTTTCCCTTTTATGTTGTCTTGAAAAAATACAAAATAACACTCTACATGAGAAACAAAGTCCACATAGTGCCCAAGCAAATGATGATTATGATGTCTGTATTTTTGATGTTAGAAGTAAGTATAAATTATACCAACTGTGTCTTGGAGTGAGTACACAAACTACATATTGTCAGTAGCTGCTAACACTTGCATGTACTTATGACCACACCAACTGAATTCATGGATGGATAGTCTCAGATTTTTAAGATACCAAGGCTACAAGTCTACATTGTATATGTGCATAGTACAGAGCACAGCAGGGTGACATTTGATATCACATGTTCATGTATGAAGATGTTGACTCTAATAGTTAAGAGTGTTTAATACCCAAGAGATCTATAGGTAGCAGGTACACAATGTATTTTAACTGGTGTGACTCCTTTACCTGACAGGTGATTTCAGGTCATTTGAAGCTTAATTTTACACATTTGTAGTACATTTGTAGATCAGTCTGTTTTCCTCTATAACTTTACCTTTACAAGTTATATACTAGTAGAAAGTAATTATGGTGCATTATTCTTTTTGTGCATTAAATTATGACAGACAATTTGATAGGTATGAAAAAAACTTAGAATTGTAAGATTACAACTGTACAATAATAATTCACATCAGGTCTGAAATGTCTAAAACAAACAAACTCAGAAAATATGTACATGTACCCAAGACTATCAGTAAAATCATGTTGCTACAAATGTATGAATACACCCCCTTTCCACCAGAGGCTGTAACTGATGACAAACCACAACCAATAAATTGCACAGATGAGGAAATAATTTTTTCAGGTTTCACAATGTATGTCTTTGCAACACTTTTACACTGTAAATCACATTTCACTTATGAAACCAGGAATCACACAAATCCAAATTTGGTCACTCAGTGGTTGTGCAGGAATCGCTGTCTGGTGGAAAGAGGGCCTTATACATGTATGTCCTTGCTGTGATCTGTAACATACAAAAATGTACATGTGTATGCCGTAGTGTGGGCATCCTGCGAACCATCTACATGTACATGTATACAGCTGTATGTATATGGGCCTCTGGCCTGAAGCAAAGAATAAATAAATAAGTATGTCGAGTACTGTGTAATTACCTTCGACAAGAAAGTTATGTTTTCAGAGGCGTTTGTGTGTGTGTGTGTGTGTGTGTGTGTGTGTGTGTGTGGATAGATTAGTTAAGCTAGCTAGTAAATTGACTTTCCTGTGTGTGGAAGGTGTTCAGCACCAAGGACAGGTTTGCCTGTCTGTGGAAGGTGTTCAGCACCAAGGACAGGTTTGCTTGTGAACATGTGTGGAAGGTGTTCAACACCAAGGTCAGGTTTGCCTGTGTGTGGATGGTGTTCAGCACCAAG